CAGTTTCTTTGGTAAGGGAGATTCAGTTGCATGTAATCCTATTACCACTCTGAAGGGTTACTTTCCATTTTACAGAGGACAGGCTACTCAAAGCAAGAAAAGATGAAGCTATGATTAAAACAATTTAGGCTTCAGACTTTAGAACTGAATTTATCTGTCCTTTGCACAGGGTATATATAGCCCAGGTATTCTACACTCAACTTTTTGATACACTGCTTAAGCTTCTTAAGTCATGCATAGGATGAAGTCTGAATCTGATAAACTGTTCTTTTGACCACTTTGATTTTAGACTGGAAATGTGTTTTATATCCAGCTCTAGAGTTAAAATAAATTTCCCTTGGGCTTTATTTGTGTTTGCTACTGCCAAAGTGTTAATAAAACATGCTTTGTCATTATGGACATTACATATCATGTAGGGTTGTATGAGGCAAAGTTACCATAAAGTGATTAGAAATCCTGTCCTGTGGCCACAGCATGATATTTCTCCATTGCATACTGAGTTAGCTTACAATCAAAAGTCCATTCATATTTATAAACATGTAACTTAAAAGCATTGCTGCCCATAGGGAACTGGAAATCAAAGGGTATGAAGTGTTAGAGCCAAAATATTTACATGGTTCTGTATAGTTATAAAATTGGTGCAGGAAATAATAGATTCTTGCTTCAGATTAAATTACGCAGTAATGACTAGTATAATGAAGGCTATCTTTAGATTTGCAATTAATGTATGTGTGCGGTTCCTGAGACTAATTCAGAAATAACATATGCTCAGATGCTTATTGACTCCAATGTTTTCCGCTGAAGCTTTATACACTAGTAGTGTTTTTCTAACCTGGTAAATCAATACCAAGATGGAAGTGTAACAACTGCAATTGAAGTATATGTAAGTTTAATTTTAATGAAATTTAAACAAAAAGAATGAGCCTGTCCTGTTGCTGAGAGGTTCCACTAGGTCTCTACAAGCATAGATGTTCACATTTCTTGTAGGGTCTGCAAAAGATACTTGATAAACATTTGTAGAGAAAACTGACTCCCATGAGAGGCCACAAAATTTCTCAGCACAAGGGGTGTCGGGGGGTTGTTGTGAGGATTCACCAGAGAACAGGGAGCATAACAGGCAGATCTACTAAAATACACTACTGAGGGGAGCAGCGGGTCGGTCAGGAGAAGTGGGCTGCCCCATATGGGTCACCTTCCTGGCCAGAGATTATGCTGCAGTGGCTGCACATTGCTTCATAGTGCTGTGTTTAAACTTGGTGTGTTACCAGGGAGGGTCACATTCAACCATTTTTAACAATGTTAATTTTTCTAATTCAGGAACAAGAACTGTCTTTCCACCACTTTGTGCCTTCTATTTCTTTTAACAATACAGAGCTCACTACATAGAATTTTCATCACCTTTGTTTACTTTTAGGTGCTTAGTTCTTTGTGTTGTGATTATAAATGCTCTTGATTTCTAGGTCAGCATTTGAATATAGAAACCACTGTATTTGTAAATTGATTTTGTATCTTGCTACTTAACAATTCTTTCAATTAGATATTTTTGCTTGTTTGTATGGTTTTTTATATACCAATGGGCAGGTTTATTATGAAAAGGAAAGAAAAGTAATGGACACTTGCACAGCCAAAAGTGGGCAGAAACCTGCATTTTTCAGTTTCTCAGCATCTCAGGAGTTTTCTACCAACATTATGTCATCTACAGGTAGTGATAGTTTTCTTTTCCAATTTGGATTAATTTTATACTTCTCTTGTTTAGTTCCTCTAGCAAAAACGTCCATTACTTTGTTGAACAGTAGTGTTGAAAATCTCACAACTGATTTTAGAGGAAAAGCTTTTAAGTTTTTCACAAGTATGATGTTACATGTGGCTTTATTATACATAGCCTTTATTATGTTGAGATATGTTCCATCTATCCCCAGTATTTTTGAGGGGTTTTTTTTACCATAAATGTATGTTTAATTCTATTGAGTGCTATCTCTGCAACTGTTTATAGAGTCATGATTTTTATCTGTTGTTGATATGATGAGTTACATTGATTTTGGGATATAGAACTATATCCCAATTTCTCTGGCATAAACACCACTCGGTCATAATATATGATTTTTTTTAAGATTTATTTATGTATATAAGAATTGGATACAGGCCAGAGGTGCAAGTGTGAGAGGATTCACCAGAGACTGATTGGGAGAAGAACAGGCAGACATACTGCTGAGGGGAGTAGCAGGCGGTTCAGGAGAGGTCTGCCTTGCCAGTGTGGGTAACCTCCCTGGCTGGGAATTGAACTTGTGCTGCAGTGGCTGCACATATTTTCATAGTGCTGTGCTTTAACCTGTTGTGCCTCCAGGGAGAACCTGGTCATAATATATGATTCTTTATTGTTAAATCCTGTTTGCCGAGATTTTGTTGAGGATTTTTACATCCATGTTCATGTTGACTTGTGTCTCTCTCTCTCTCTCTCTCTCTCTCTCTCTCTCGTGTGTGTGTGTGTGTGATTGTCGGGTTTTAGTATCAGGATTGGCATTGTAAAAATATGTTTGGAAATACTTCCTCTTAATTTTTGGGAAGAACTTGAGTTTTAGTTCATTTTAAATATTTAGTAAAACTATTGAAACCGTCTGCACCTTGGGTTTTATTTTATGGGAGACAATTTCTAGTCTGATTTCCTTGTTTATGAGTAATCTGTTCAGGTTTTCTATTACTTATATATTTCTAAGAATTAGTCCCTTTTTTCTAGGCTATTTGACTTACAGATGTTTTCAGATATCTTCCATGAGGTTCTATATTTCTAAGATATCTGGTAATTTCTGACTCTTAAAGAGTTTATTTCTTTCATTTATTCCCTTATTGGGCCTACCTATGTTACAGAACAGGGATTAGCACCCCAAAACCCCCAAATCTGCCTGCTTTAAATAGATTCTGCCATCTGCTGCATCAAGGCAAAAAATATATTCCAGTGTGTAAGACCTTCAATGGAAAGGGACTTTAGTACAGTTAGCCCATTCCTGGTGGTACAAGGGATTAAAGCACAGCATCGTGAAGCTCTCCACAAACACTGCAACATGAATGAGTTCGATCCCTGACCACGGAGGTGACCCACATGGTGTTGCAGACCTCTCCTGTCTTGCCTGCTGCTCCCCTCAGCAGTGTATTTCAGTCAGTCTGCATGTTCTATTTCCCACTCTGTCTCTGGTGAACCCTCTCACCCACTGCACCTCTGGCCTGTACCCCAGTTCTATATGCATGAATAAATAAATCTTTTTAAAAAATTACAGTTTGTGTGCAATACAGACAAGGGAAAGAATGGGGAAGGATTTAGTTTCCAAATCAAGCACCCAAAGTACCCATCCCTCAGGTGTAAATGC